CATTCTACGATAGCAGTGCATAGGTAGTACTGTAGCAAATATGAAACTGTAGAAGGTTCCCTACAATTCCTCGGAAACGAAAGAACCATCAAAACCTTTCTTCTATATTTTTTGAATATTGTTCGAGTTTTCAGCAAAGATACAGCGGGGGCTTGGCTGTAGTGAGAGTGCAATGCGATGGGCTGAAATCCAGACCCGGCACATCAACCAATCCCTTTTGTCCTATAGCCAGTCTTTTTTCTTTCACTCCATTAGATCTACGGATCCTCCATTTTCAAAGATTTCCCTTGAGACAACCGCGCTTCCTCGATTTTTTCCGCTACTTCCGCTGAATGCAGATGTCAACTCGCTGTGATACGGAGAATAGAAGAGTACTTATTCTCTGCGAAGGGCACCTTTGAAGCCATTATTACTGCAAGTTCTAGTTTTTTCCCTAGAAATTTCACACGTCTTCCTTGTTGTATGGTTACTGACGTTCTGAAATGTAACTATTGAATTTGGAATTTTCGAAATAGGCTGATTTATAGTTAAGATTTATGAAGTGACGGACGCATCTTTGGGCTCGATTCAGAACAGAGCGAAACAGTTTTTCAAAAAAAAATCTACACGAATTAATTCGCAGACCCCTTCTCCTCCCATCAGTCTTTTCATGATAGCAGTACAATAATTTAGAGAATTTTCTTTTGCCTGTGACCCTCCGAGGTCCATACAAGCTTTCATTGAGCTAGCGTTCCACCATAAATCATCTCGAAGCCTCTATGAAAGCAGAGCGTTAGCGCGTTTCCTCACTAGAGCTTTGACTGTCAATGGGTGCCTACTAGAACTCCCTTTCTGGAACGGTTCCAAAGAAGGCGACTGCTGCATTTGACGAGGTCGCAATAGTGACTATAAAAGGGGGGGGTCGTATTAGAGTTGTGAGAAGGGGGTTGCATTTGGAGGATTTTTTCGATGTTTTCGACAAAAGCTTTGAGAGAAGCGTGAAATGGAGTAAACTGGTGGATTAATGATGGTGAGGGTGGTTGTCGGTGATGGAAGGAGGGTTTTCTACTGGGAGAGCTTCCTAAGGCTGAAGATAGTGGCGAGATCCCCTTGGGGGGAGGGGCCAAATTTTGGTGCGAACGCGACGGTTGTCCAGGCCGTAACCTAGCGGTTTAAGGCCTTGTATTGGTCGCCACCACTGCCTTTTTAACTCGCTTGCGGCATACGCGGTGTCTGAGCGATATCGTACGGAGTGGGCTCTGCATATTTCCTCTCCTCGTCGTCGTAACACGGTCAACGTCACGGAAAAGGTTCCTTGATTTCTTAGTTCTTTTAATTCGTTCCTTACTTCTGGTCTCCTTCGAAACTCATACTTCGCAATCAGATGGAGAAACACATTCTCCCTTAGCGACCAGTGCCTTTAGGGTTTCTCACACTACATATTTGCTTGTAGAGACCTTTGTAATCCATCTATTTTCCGTTACCTTTGGCCAGAACTCCACCTCCACTTCCACTATTTCGTTAACTGATCGCTCCTTTGGGATATTTTCCCAACAGAACAAAATTTTTTAATCCTTCCTATTTCTTTGGATAAGACGCGCTGCAATCAAAACAGAGGATGAATCCAATAGGACGAATGGGACAGTTACATGGTATGAGTAAGGAGACCAATCACAGTATGGTGGTGCTTCAAGGGCAGTGCGTCCAGGGCGTGTGGAACTCCACCCCTAAGACCAGCACGACCGCTTTTTGTTAACTAAGCGACACAACTGGCTGATAAGATCAATAGCATCAAAGAACTCGTAATCCGTTTTTTTGCTGAGGCTGTTGCCATTTCACCTACTAAGTCCGTGACTACGACACGTCTCATCCAGGAAAACAGAATTCACATGGATTACTTGTTCCCCATTTCGAGAGCCGTAAGTAGGTGGGACACAGGTGATGGGTCGATTTGTGATATTGGGTCTGGTGATAGGATCATCGGCTTTACTTTGATTTGCTATGAACTTATTGGTGCAATAGTGAGGGTAACAGAGACGGTAGGGTAACGTAGCAGAAGGTTAAAAAAGCGTAACGAAAAATAGCTAGCAAGTCCCCGTGCGGATCCCGAAATCGGCCCAATCGACGGTGGTGTGCCATTCCCACTACTGCCGCTTGAGTTTTTTGATCACACAATTAATTAGATTTTATTTTCAGATCACCATCTGCAACTGTTCGATTGATCGGATCCGACCGAGCCGAGCAACCGCAATGTTTCGGCATGACATCTCGTTGGAGTTCACACAAAGCAGAATCGGCATGGTGGACTCCTACGCGTTCGCTAACATGTCGGCTCAAAGCCTTAGTTTTATGGGTTGTGTAGTGGGCAAGGTGAAGCGCCTTGCAGCTGCCAACAGCCGCTTCGATCACGTGGAGATCAGTGAGACTCGCATCGAATCCCTTGATGAAGGTCTTTTCCATGACTCACAGCTCAGAAACCTCATTATTCAAAGGTCTAGCATCGCCCAGGTGCTTTCGTTGGCCTTCCAACGGTCGCTCATAAATCAAATGAGGGTGGATGGTTCTGATATTGGCAGTCTCGAAATGCACGCCCTCAAGGGATCCACGATCCATGCTCTTACTCTGGAAAAGGCGACAGTGAACAACGTAAAGGGAAAACCTTTCAAGTCCGCAGAGGTAAGAGTTCTGAATTGTAGGATAAGTAGAACAAAATATGGAGGGCTAAAAAACTTAGAACCATATGGTGATCTGACACCTAAACCAAAAACAAGGTATGGGCAGGCGGTATTGCGGGGGAGCGGAGTGACTCGTCCGTCAGTTTATTTTACTTAAGGAAGTGGTTGCAGTTGCGATTGAGGGATGGAGGTTGCATTGGAGTTAAGAAGGTTCACACATGTTGGGAAAAGTTGTGGATGGAGTCGTATACTTGTTTTTTTTGTTTTGATTTTTGACTAATTTTGGTTAAAGCGTCGCGAATAAAGACTACTCCAGGAGGCGCGCGACAGAAAGACAAGTCAACGGACGAGGTTGCGGTAGGGATTGCACCGTTCAAGCTAAATAGAATGTTCATTGTACGTCTTAATCGGTACACACGCGCTGCGATCGTCCCGACTCTGCTTCTGCGCGCGACGGGTCCTGGGGGGGGTACCCGATAAATTGAAAACAAGGCACGCCAAAAATAGGAGTGGTTAGATTTGCCGCTACAGTTATATATTCCGCACCCCCCCGCAGAAGTGAACAGATAGGAATTGTGTAGACTAGGTCCCAAAATGAATTAAAATACTGTAAAAACACCATGATGCATGGGTGGTGGTAGGGGGTAGGAGAGGAAGAGTCAGTCTGGGGGTACCTTTTAAGAGCTGGTGGTGGTGATGGGGCAAAAAAGGAAAATTGAAAAGTGGAGTTTAGAAAAGTGACGCGACGGTCAACCTTCAGGTTAAGGGGCATGGGTCAGAAGAGACGTTCGTTTATAGAGAGTCGCGCAGCAAGAACTTTCTGTTACAATCTATGGCGATTGAACAAAATGGGCGTCTGCTTAACCCATGACTATTTATGTGTTGATAAGACAGGAGGTACCAAATATCCTAAGACAAGGAAATATTGTTCTAGCGTCAAGTGAGCGTAACCAAAATATTTGGAACAGCAAGATAGTGGGATAGGTGAAACTAATCAGCAGAGGGAAACACTACCGAGAATGGTAGCAAGCATCCTCCACGCAAGATTGAAGGTGAGACAAACTAAGATCAACGAAGAGGGGTATTCGGAATTATCGGATGGTTCGGGGTCGTATTTCACGTCTCTATGTATCCCACTAGGCGGAAGGTGAAGTGGCGCGCTTTACCACGCAAGCGGTTCGGAATATAAATTTGGGTGTGAGTCGCCCGGGCCAACCAAGCCTTCCATCCCTCCGGGGTCGGTTAATTGGTACCAGACTTGTCTGGGAGGATAAAAACACTGACTTGTACATCGGCTGGCCCACGTCATTGTATAGGCCACATCGCATTCAAACGCCACTACGAATGTACAAATGGAAGTAGAATGCGTGCCGATTGAAAATATGATGAAATTTGACAAACGCAAAAGCTTTATCTTTTATAAATTTTATATACCACTCTCCACTCCGCTCAACTGTAGTTTTGGAGGTAATTTCAGGGTGAGGTTAGGGTGTGTCACGTGGTCTCGAAGCCCTCCACCTGCGCAGCATCCTCAGAATCGAAAACTTTGAAAACATTCATGGAGTAGATGGCAGGTCAGGACGGGTAATCCAGGGCTGGGTATGTGTCAAGGCTCCCTCAAGTAGTTAGGGGTATGTTAAATATTATATATCAATTTTGAGAATCATAACAGTGATCCTGCCCTACAGGTTCTTTACTAGACGAACAGTTTCTCTGTCAAAAGGCAAACACCCCAGTCAATCAGGCGCTACGTCTCGCAGATCCATTCAGGGTATCTTTTGAGAATTTTCTTCCTAACCTGTCCTAAATTTATTGAATTTGGACTGTAATTTTTTGCTAAATGCAAAATTAGATTGGAATAATCTAAAACTAGGAAATGACGGGGAAAATGGCGAAAAACTATGAACATGTCGTTTAGAACTCTAAAAGTAGAGAATATTTTCTTTTCAGATAAACAATTTGCGGATCGTCGATTGCAAGTTACAAGGTGCACCAGCCCGTGCGTTCTTCTCAAGCCTCACAACCACTCGCCTTTCTGTCATCAACACCACCCTCGACTGTGATCCAGACGATTGCGAGATGAATTCGATGTTTCTGAAGCCACCCCGCCATGTGCTGTTGTGGACGTTTGAAGGGAACTCGTGCAGGACCCCAATGATCAGTACCACCAGCGGGATAGCTTTTTGTGCCCAGCCAACTGTGTTCCACCAATCCGGGCTCACCTGTCGCCGGAGTTGGGCAATAGCCGACTGCGTGTGTACTGGGTCGTCGGCATCGTTGCCAGATCTCAACGCTTCCGTGGTCATCATCGGGGATTGTGAACACTTGACGGTGAGGAGCGTGAACGCCCCGCCACATGCGCTTTACCTCTTCAGAATCGGACGATGTGACCTGGTGAGAATGCCTAGGTTCACTACGGCGCTAAAAATTTACCACTCGACGGTCGTCGTTCACCACCGGGCATTCCTCAACAACCACATCTCAGCGTTGGTCCTCTCATATGCAGTCATTCATAGAGTAGTTTCAAAAGCTTTTGTTAACGTCACTATCGATGAAATGGTAGTGAGTAACTCTTCACTAACGAACTGGCATCCAAAAGCAGTCGAAGGGACAAAAATCGAGTTCGCATCTATCACCGATTCCAGAGTCGGAGCTGTGACATCTCTTCTAAGCTCAGTAAGGCACCTTCTGGTAAGCAATAGCGTTCTAGCCGGTACCGAGGGTCTTTCAGCGATCAGAGACGTGCACCTTAGCAACAATACGGTGCTATGTTGCTGCGATGTGGGTGAGAATTCCTGTGGAAAGGATAGGAATATGGAACAGAAATGCAAAGATCACTTTGAATACTCTATTATCTGTGATGTCAGTGGTTACGCATATGAAATGCGAATCTCATATTTTTTCTTCATTTCATTTCTTCTGCGATTGGTTATTTCTGTTTGAAAATTATACATATATTTATGGAAGAATAAATCTCTTGTCAATGATCAATCACTTTTTCCATGGTGTGCTACGCACACGCTGCTTCCCAGAACCAGAGACGCGTCGAGTGCAGACTACACAGCAGAAGTGACGACGGCCTTCACAAAATGAAATTGTTTTCTACCCATAAAGTGGCAGGTTGCAGTTGTACCATCGGTTGT